ACGCACTTTCCAAGTCGCAGTGCGGCAGAGGCAGTCCGCACGCGCGTCTGTGCGAGACCAGGGCACGGTGTCGCGAATTAGCCCGCATGCGCAGCGCCGCGTACATTCGACTTAACAAATTTCCAAAGTTTCACGGATTGAGGGCGGGTCGTTTTCAAAATGTGGCACTCGCCTGGGCGCAACGCACATCCGTTTTAAAACTTTGCAGAAACTTCACGGATTTAGGGCGGATCCTGTTCAAAATGTTGCTCTCGTCTCAGCGCCGCGCACATTCCTTTCACACTTTTTTGGTCTGCGGGTCGAGAGCGGGCCTCTTCCGGTTAAGAGCTAGGCGGGGCGCGCAAAGCACTAAGCACATTCCTTGTACACATGTGCATGATGTTCATTGGCTGTCATGGTCAACGTACCAGAAGTGTTGCCCTGGAACGATTCAGGACTGTCAGGGCGCAACAGTTGCGTTGATTCGCGGTGTTGAAGTCCGAGGAATGGTGTTCTGGCACGACTCAGGATCGCCAAGACGTAACAGTCAGATTATATCATGGCGTTCAAGTACTGAGGCTGGTGTTTTTGCACGCTTCATCACACGGTTGTTCCCCATCGGGGCAATTCCCCCAGTGAAAATGAACCCTTGGAGGGGCCTATGAAAAGGGAGCTTGGAGGGAGGGTGTATTCCAACATCGTTGGTGAGTGTTGGGTTTTCAGTGGTCCTCTTCATCCTCCCCTCCTGCTCCTCCCTCTCCTCCTCCTCATCCTCATCATCATCAGCATGATCATCATCATAATCATCATCATCATCATCATCATCATCATCATCATCATCATCATCATCATCATCATCATCATCATCATCATGATCATCATGAGCATCATCATATCATCAGCATCATCATCGTGGTCGTCGTCGGCGTTATCACAATCAGCATCATCATCATCATCATCATCATCATCATCATCATCATCATCATCATCATCATCCTCATCCTCATCCTCATCCTCATCCTCGTCGTCACCGTCGGCGTCATCATCATCATCATCATCATCATCATCATCATCAACATCAACATCAACATCCTCATCATCACTGTCGTACTGGCCCTTCCATTTCTCCTCCTCCTCCTCCTTCTCCCTCTCTTAGTCCTCATCCACGTCCTCTCAAGCCAGGGCCGCCGCGCGTCGGGCCGCCCTCCGCGCGCATGCAGGCCTCCTCGGGGCTGAAGGGGATCAGCATTAGTCTCTGCGGCTTGAGGCGGCGCCGTCCGCGTCGTAACACCGAGGTCTACTTCAGCGAGCTCCTCCTCATCGCTTTCGGCTGGTGCATGGGAGCGAGGCTCGACTTCTTGGTGCCGTACCAGTGCCTCGGTGGCGACCTGGGCCAGAGGATCTGTGAGTTCGTCAGCCGCAGGACATGGCGACCTTGAAATGGATACCGGTGTTCCCCGATCTGATCGCCTCCTTCAAAGCCGACGGTGGACTCGAGATCGACGCCAATGAGGACAGGTACGTAGAGGCCTCCGCTTCCAGGCAGCCCGTCACAGAGCAGAAGACAGAGCGGAGGGACGAGAAGAAGGACGCCGAGGAGACGGACGACGACTACGACTACGACTACGACTACGAGCCCAAACCGCCGGAGAAGCTGCACAAGCAGCGCGATGAACTACTCCAGCGAGCTCGCCGGCACAGGGAAGATAGGCTTCGAGCGCAGGAGATAGAGAGAGAGATAGAGAGAGAGAGCAGGATGAAAGCCGACGAGGGGCAGGGGCCCCGCCGACGCGAGAGAAGCGCGTTTGCGGCCAAACGTAATGAAGTGTTGTTTGATATATATATATATATATATATATAGAGAGAGAGAGGAGAGAGAGAGAGATAGAGAGAGAAAAAGAGAGAGAGAGAGAGAGAGAGAAACAGAGAGAGAAAGAGAGAGAGAGAGAGAGCAAACATCCGATGGACATCGTGCCACGAATCGCTTCTCCATGCCAGCCTGGGGTCCCAATCTTGGCGGGCCAAACGTGAGAAAGTGCCACGCACTCACACTGGGGGGGAGCCGAACCCCGGCAAGCCCAGCTCTCTGCCCATCAGAGGCTTGGAGGAGCGGCTCACAGGCAGAAAAGCACCCATGGAGGTGGCAAAAAAAATATTCTGCGCCTGGGACTCTCTTTCAGCGCCCATTATCTGACAAATGCAGCGTACCATTTTCTTAGAGGTGCAGCTTGCTGGTGAAGAAACGTGAAGCACATGGCGAGAAGAGGAAGGCGTTCATTATCTTGAGCGTTATCGTCATGGACACGACTGCCCAGGTGCCACGGTGAAGGGTGGAGGACTGGCAGTTCAGGCAAGCAGAACTTGATCTCGGGAAGGGCGCCCGTGGAAGCTGCAAGTAATGTTCTGCACTGGGGCCTCCATGCCAGCCCAGACCTCTGCAGCCTTGAGAGCAATGCCTGGGCCCCCTGGACGTCTCTGGCTGGGACCCACGGCGAGAAATCCATGCGAACCTCTGGGCCGAGAGCTTCAGCAGCCACGGATGGAGTCCAGTCCAGTCCAGCAGCCAGGTGTGCAGCAGCACATAGGCAGAAAAATGCAGCACGACGTGGAACACAGAACGTTAGTATGCACTCTACAACGCTGTGAGACATTGCTGAGCAAGCCCGGGAGGAGAGAGGAGGGGAGGACGAGGGAGGAGCGGGGTCTCCTCACAACCAGACCTTGTGGCTAAGCAAAAGCTCAAAAACGCACGAAGCCCACTGTCGCTCTGGTCTACCTCTCTTCTGGCATTGGCTCACGGACGGGCAACCCACCCAAACAATAAAAAACTTGGGGTCTTGGCCCGATGGTTTTCCAACACACCAGGGAACAAGAGTCAGGCGGGTGGTAAGGGGGGGTGACCCCAATGGGGGGTGAAGGCAAGGGCCCCAAAGGCCCCCTTTAAGGCCCCTTCTGGAGCCCATAGGGATCCAAAAGGAGCCTTAAAGGACCCCTTTAGGGCCATTCTTCACCCTCAATTTGGGTCTCCCCCCTGTCACCTGCCCGAAAAAGGCCAGTGCGAGCTCGAGAAAACGCCCCTTCCAAGTCTCTGGCCCGCCTAGCGCCCCAACAGGACCGGTGTCCCGCATATATGCCCACCGCGTGCAAGCCCAGGCACCCTCTCAGAACGTACGTGGGACTGCTCCTCTGTCATTCACGCGTTAGGAGGCCCAGTAGGCGAGAACGAGTCGAATACTCCTCTCAGTATCTCCGCTTCCCTCCCCGTCCCCCTCCCGCTTCCATCTTCCTCCTGCCCCTCCTCCTCGTCCTCCTCCTCCTCCTCCTCCTCCTCCTCCTCCTCCTCCTCCTCCTCCTCCTCCTCCTCCTCCTCCTCCTCCTCCTCCTCCTCCTCCTCCCCCTCCTCCTCCTCCTCCTCCTCCTCCCTCCTCCTCCTCCTCATCCTCATCATCATCATCATCATCATCATCATCATCATCATCATCATCATCATCATCATCATCATCATCATCATCATCATCATCATCATCATCATCATCATCATCATCATCATCAGCATCAGCATCATCATCATCATCATCATCAATCATCATCATCATCATCATCATCAGCATCATCATCAGCATCATCATCATCATCATCATCATCATCATCATCATCATCATCATCATCATCATCATCATCATCATCATCATCATCATCATCATCATCATCATCATCATCATCATCATCATCATCATCATCATCATCATCATCATCATCATCATCATCATCATCATCATCATCATCATCATCATCATCATCATCATCATCATCATCAGCATCATCATCATATTTATCATCATCATCCTCATCATCGTCATCGTCATCATCATCATCATCAGAATCATCAGAATCATCAGCATCATCACCAGCATCGTCATCATCGTCATCATCATCGTCATCATCAGCATCACCATCATCATCCTTCTCCTCATCCTCCCCATCAGCATCATCATTATCATCATCATCATCATCATCATCATCATCATCATCATCATCACCAACCTCACATCATCATCACCATCACCATCACCATCATAATCACATCCAGCATCATCACCATCATCATCAACATCATCATCATCATCATCACCACCAGCATCGTCATCATCGTCATCATCAGCATCACCATCATCATCCTTTTCCTCATCCTCCCCATCATCATCATCATCATAATCATCATCATCATCATCACCAACCTCACATCATCATAATCATCATCATCATCAACATCATCAGCATCATTGTCATCATCGTCATCACCAAAATCACAATCATCATCACATCCAGCATCACCATCATCACCATCAACATCATCATCATCATCATCATCATCATCATCATCATCATCATCATCATCATCATCATCATCATCATCATCATCCTTCTCATCGTCCTCCTCATTTTCCTCATCCTCCCCTATCCCTCCCCTTTTCGTCCTCCTCCTTCTCCTCCTCCTCTTGCCAATCATGCAGTGCCAGACCCAGCCCTGGAAGACGTCCTTGGACGACGCCAGCTGTGCAACGCTGTTGGCCTCCCATGACTGCTCCCACGACGAAACAAGATATCACACTGGGTGAAGCATGGCAGCAGGATGGGGGGATGAAGGAGGTCGTGGAGGAGGCGTTTTAGGAGGGGGGGAGCCGAAAGTGGCGAGTGGAATGCTAAAGCTGCACAACGAAGAAATTTAGCAAATCATCCGCGCATCCCGTGACAACACATCAAGTTGAATCGCTGCCAGGGCCAGCGCATAGAGAGAGACAAATACATATACACACATAAACAAGGCAACAGTCTTGCACGAGCAACGAGGTCGGCCCGCTGTACACAATGCGAGAACTGCGCTCGTGCACCGTACCATGCTCGGACTCTCTTCAGGCATCGCTCCAAAGCGTTGCCGTGCATAGTGTTTCGGCTCGGAAAGCCGAAAAACCCATGCACCGTTCCACTCCTGGGTCGAAGATCGACAACGCCTCGGGGGACGCCAACGCAGTACGGCGCATGCAGGTCGTCCGCTGACCAAACCTCGAAATGCTCAGGATGAGTTTCACGTCAAAGCGCAAGTATGCACTACCCGGGCGTTCGACCATCCACCCGCCTGCTTGGCCAGCTCGCCGGCGGCTACCTGGCTGCTGCGCGGTGCTGACCGATTGCGGAAAGGAATGCGGAAAGGAAAAGCGGGGCTGAGCTAGGACCTGCCAGCACCCCACACTCCAACCCTTCAGCTGACATCCGAAGGGGCCCTCGGCAGCCAGAGCTTCCCAACTGAACCTGACGCTGTCGTACTGAAGCTGCAGATACGATCCCTCCCCCTGACACTGGCGACTGCAAAGTAATGTACGCACGACTGCAGATTACTCGAACTATCATCGAACATCTCACACATTAGAAGTCGGTTCCACAAACGGGAGTCAGCTTGTCCAGGTGAGCTCCATGCAACGAATAATGTCCAGCTTTGGCGTATATCTTAGCAGATGCCCAACCCTTCCGAACGCCAATGAAGCCTATGATCGACAGGGCGAACCTTTCAACGCGCAACTGGCCACGGCATATTGAACCCTGACCGCTGAGCAACAGTCTCTGATCGCGTGAGGGTGGAAAAACGTCCCTTGCCCCGTCCCTTCCCGTTCCTTTCCCATTATGCTCCTGATAGTGCTGCTACTCCTTTTCATGTTCCTCCCTGCCTCATCCCCCTCCTCGCCCTCCCCATCGATCCCCTCACCATCACAAACAATTATCTCCCCCTCCTCCCGTCAAGCAGAGCAGCTCAAGCCCGCCCACGCGGCATGTTGTGAGCCCGCGAGGGCAACAGCAGAGAAAAGGCAGCATAGAGGAAGAGGACCAGGACCAGAAGGGGGCACAAGGACAAAGTGGGCGAGGGAGGAGGGCGAGCAGAGGAATGGGAAGGAGGAGAATGGAAGGGAGGAGGAGGACGAGGAGAGGGGGGAAGTATGACGAATGTGGACGAGGAGAGGAAGGAAGAGAAGCAGCACCAGCAGGTGAAGAGGGCCGAGCTTGCGAGTGGCGACCACCAACCTCAACGGCATCGTAGGAAGAGCGGTTTGTCGTCGGATATAGCTCACAAAATTTGACCCAGTACTTGCTGCACAATCGGCATGGCGCTTTTGGTCTTTGGAAATGAAGGTGGAGGTGGGCGAAAGAGGAGGAGCGAGGAGAACGAGGAAGAGGAAGAGCAAGAGGATGAGGAGCGGAAGCGGAGAAAGCAGGAGGAGCCGCGGAAGGCAGAGGAGCGCACAGGAGGAGGACGTCGACGACGAGAAAAGGAATCGGATCCAGAAATGTGGCCCGTGCTGGGGCGAGAGTGCAATTCTGAACGATGGAAGCAACGCACTGACCGTGAAGCGGGAGCACCATGTTTGAAGGACGATGACATTCCGATTGAAACACACGTAATCATGAAAGACCCAGTTCTGAAATCCTGCACGCCAAAACAATGCGCGAGAAAGACGGCAGCCCCGCCAGACATTATCAGGGGAGAGATGGGAGTAGCACTCATATTCAGCAACTGTGAAGGAGCGGGACGACGCCGACGACGAGATCAGACTCAGCGGGCTCCTCCACGATCGCACAAAACCAAGAAGAATGGGCAAGATGAGGACACGCATAAGCGTTAAGAAGGCAAGGAGAACGAAGTTCGGCCGTCCACAGAGGTTCCTGAGAACAACAAAAAACTGCCCAGCATACCCGCCCAAGGGACGAATCAGTGCAGCAAGACGAGGCGTAGAAAGCGGAGCCAGAGGAGGGAGGCAACATGGAGCTGGGAGAAGGGGGGGAAGGTGGATGGAGGGGAGGAGAAGGAAGGACCAAGAGGAGGACGGCGAAGACAAGGTGGAGGAAGCGGCGAAAGGAACCCAGACCACAGTGTTCATGGCGCGGACCCCCCGAGATCAGACCCCAATCCCAGGGACCAGCTTTTCATCCTGAGCCGTTTTTGACAGTCCCGACGCCTGGTGAAAGCTCCCAGATGATAGGCAATAAGAGTACACATGACCCTTTGGGAAGCGACCTAAAATTGGAGGGACAAAAACATCAGGGATACGGGTCTGATTTGCCGATGTACCAGACGAAAACACCTGTGTGTCCAGGCATATCCGCAAACACCGCGGACCTGAGCGAGGCCACGAATTCCCGAGAGCCGCAGCTCCCCGAGAGCTTAGAGGCTTGTTAGATTAGACAGCAGCAGCACTGGGTAGGCCAATCTCCTCTCCACGCCCCCCGGGCAGGCACCCTCGCAGCAACTTGCTTGAGTTCGCAGCGTGTCCCGAAAAAATTGTCCGAGTCGTTCCCAATACGCGTGCTAGAACCTTTGCGAAGCTCCTTCGAAGCTCTTCGGGGGATCGTGCGAAATTCCCACTCGTTCGGGCGGATTCCCCTCTCATGCCGCTGGCCGGGCCCCCTACGAGGGCGTCCCCACCCGGAGACCTGCGCGGCGCTGAGGCCCCCGCGGACCGCGGAGGTCGCCTGGCGCGCTCTATCCGGCACACCCAGGGGGGGGCCTCCTCCTCCGCCTCGCCCGACCCCCTCGCGTCGTGAAAAACTCACGACTGGAGGTTCTCTCCTATTTTCGGCCTCGGGGAGCCTTTTCCTGGCCTCGGGGCCCCGAAAAAACGCCCCAGGATGGAAGGCTGATCCCCGGGAAGGAATCCCGACCTCTGGACGTCTTCCTTATGCAAAATTCACATCGTCCGCCGTACGGTTCCTCCTCCTCCTCCTCCTCCTCCTCCTCTTCTTCTTCTTCTTATTATTATTATTTTTCTTCTTCTTCTTATTATTATTATTCTTCTTCTTATTATTATTATTAGTATTATTATTAGTAGTATTATTATTATTTATTCTTATTATTACTCTTCTTCTTCTTATTATTATTATGTTTCGTATTCTTAATCTTCTTCTTATTATTAGTATTCTTCTTATTAGTATTATTCTTATTATTATCCGTATGCTTATTATTGTTCTTCTTATTCTTATTATTCGTATTATTCTTCTTATTATTATTCTTATTATTCTTCTTATTATTATTCTTATTATTATTATTCGTCTTATTATTATTCCTCTTCTTGTTCTTAGTCTTCTTATTATTATTATTATTATTATTATTATTATTATTCTCCTTCTTCTTATTATTATTTGTATTCGTCTTCTTCCTCCTCCTCCTCCTATTATTATTAATTATGTTTCTTATTCGTACAATTGTTCTTTTTAATATTATTAGTATTATTTTTGATAATAGTATTCATCTTAATATCATGATTCTTCGTATTATTGATACTAACATCATGAATATTACTACTCTTATTATTACTATAGGTATGAGGATCATTCTTATTATTGATATTAGTATGTGTATTGTTATTGAGCTTATTAGTAATATGCTTAGTGTTCTTATTAGTATCATTATCCGTGTTATTATTTGGATGCTGACTATTATTAGTATTCCTTAATATTAACATTAGTACTACGATCAGTATGTTTTACTACAAGTAATAATTGTAGTGTTATTATTCTTCTTCGTACTATTATCAATCTCCTCCTAAATTGATATGATTAATGGTCTTATCATTCTTCATATAGTGATTTTTACTATTATCATTATAATCATTATTCCTCCTCCTCCCCCTCCTCCCCCTACTCCCGCACCAAGCACGATGCAAGCCTGGGCGGTTTTGGCGTGTCTTCCAAGAACGGCGATTAAAGACTCACTATTGAGGGCCCACTAAAAGTCCCTTCGCTGGATTCCCGCAAAAGGACTCTTTACTACGGGCACCATACTAACGACCCCATGGTAAGAAAACCTTACTCAAGTTCCCTTACGAGAGATCCATTACGTAAGATTCCTCACTCAGGACCCCTGGAAACAAGGATTTCGTACTACGGCTTCCTGAAAGCGGATTTACGATCAAGGACTCCTCAGCAAGGATTCCCTGGTAAGGGAGTATGGCTAAGGGTTCCTTACCAAGGATTTCCGAATATGGATTTGATGTTCCCCACATCGTAGGTGGGGTTTTTGTTTTCTCTGGACACCCCGCGCAGGTCCTATCACCCACACCCTTTTCTTCCCCACAGCACTCACTCACTCACTCATTCACCCACTCGCTCAGTGACTCACATCTCACCATCGCCATCACCATCATCATCATCATCAGCATCATCAGCATCACCAACATCATCATCACAATCATAAGCATAATCGGCATCATCAACAACACGGCGAAATCATTTCATCGTCACTATCATAGCCACCATCACCACACCATCATTATCATCATTATCATCATCACTCCCTCACTCACTCACCCAATCGCTGCCCACTCTTCACTCACCCAATCACTCGCAGCCACACAATGATCATCACCATCATCATCACCACCATCGTCACCACCATCACTCACCACGCATCATCACCATCATCAGCATCATCATCATAATCATGTTTGGGCTCCCTTGGCCTGAACATGGAGAAGTCTCGAACGGGAGCCTCGTATGTGATGAGGAAGTCTCAAGCGGGAGCCTCTTCCCTACGGGGTTCGCACTTCATGTTGGTAATCCGAACAAGTCATCCGAAAACCTGTAACTGCCATGACTTTGGGGGGCCCGCATGCCTGAAAATGGAAGACCGGGAACTTCGTCTCTGAGTGAATTGCGAAGAAGTCTCGGGCGGGAGCCCCCTCCGTATGGGGCCCGCATTTCACGTTGGTAATCCGAGCGAGTCATCTGCAAACCTGTAACTGTCGTGGCTTTTGGGGGCACGCACGCCTGAACATGGAGGAAGCAACAAGCAGGAACGTCGTCTGTGAGTGAATTGCGAGGAAGTCTCGGGCGGGAACCCCCTCCGTATGGGGCCCGCCCTTTTCCACGTTGGTAATCCGAGCGGGCCATCCGCAAACCTGTTAACTGTCATCACCCTTGGGCGCCCTCATGCCTGACTATGGAGGAAATATGAAACGGGAACCGCGTTTGTGAGTGAATTGAGAAGAAGTCTCAGGCGGGACCCCCCCCCCCTTTAAGGGCCCGCACCTCATGTTGGCAATCCGAGCGGGTCATCCGCAAATCTGTAACCGTCGTCGCTTTTCGGGGTCCTCATGATTGAAGATGAAGTATCAAACGGAAAATCGTATGTGAGTGAATTGCGAGGACATCTCAGGCAGGGGCCCCCTCCCTATGGGGCCCGCCCTTCATGTTAGCTATCGGAGCGGGTCATCCGCAAACCTGTAACTGTCATTACGTACGGGGGTCTTTACACCTGAATATGGAAGAAATACCAAATCGGGAGTCTCGTGCGTGAGTGAATCGCGAAAAAATCTCAGGCGAAGGGAGGGCCCATTCCGTACGGGGGCCGCAGGTTATGATCCCAATCCGAACGTGTCCTCCGAAAAACATGTGACGGTCGTCACTTTTGGCCTTTTGAAGCCTGAATATGAAAAATATGAAGCGGGAGCCCCGCTGTGAGTGAACTGCGAGGAAGCCTCACGCGGGACCAAACGCTCTTCGTCGCCAAGTTCGCAAAGGCCTGCGACGAAGCCTGGGAGGACGAGGTCCAGAAGAACCCCTGGAGCGAGAGAAAAATCACGCACTTGCTCCTGCTGGCTCAAGGCGGCTCGGGGAAAACGCACATGATGCATAACATCGTTTCCCCAATGGTGGGATAGTTGTGGCCCCCGGTGGCGACGGACCAGGGCGCCATGATGGTCGTGGTCTTCTCGAACGCGCAGGCGATGAACATCTCCACGGACACTGTGGGGGCCAAAGCGTTGCAGAACGCCTGTGCCCTGCGAACCCAGAGATACGTCAACGCGAAGATGAAGCCAGGCGGCATGCGGAACAGGTTCAAGTAATTGTGGGAGCACGTCCGCGCTCTTACCATCGAGGGAGTGAGCATGGTAGCGGCCGCGCTGTACAACGCAATACACCTTCGCGGCTGCCACGGAAGCAATGACACGCACGACGTGCAGGAGTCCACCTACAAGCGGCCGCACCGCAACTTCGAGCGCGTCCCCATCGTGTTTCGCCACGGCGATTGCCTGCAGCTGAAGCCCGCCGACAGCATCGGCCTCCTGACGGACACGAAGGAGCTCCTGGACGACGGGTCGTACAAGCACGCGGAAACGCCGACGATGGAGATTCAGCACGCCATCAAGGTGTTGTTTGAAACTTCCTGCGCTTTCGAGGGAAAGGGCTCGAAGCGTTTCGAGCCCGGGGACCCTCTGATCGCGTCATTGAGCTTCACGCGCGAGGGCAAGCCCTTCACAGCTGAGGTCTGGTCCACCTGGAAGAAAACGGCAGCCTCGGACAACCACGGCGTCCTGGACCGTCGGCACCAGCACGAGAATTGTCGGCTCGGCTACGGCATGGGCATCTACTCGGGGACGCTGGCGACGTGGATCAATCAACACGCGCGCTCGTCGCGATACCCGGCGTCTCGGCATGCCCATCGTTTTCCTGCAGTCCGCACACAAGTGCAGCGCGACGCGGCGCCTGCTAAACGTCCCGAGCACGCACACGACGGGGGTCATCCACGGCGTCTTACCGGTTCACGTCGGCATGGAAGTCCGGTTCACGGCCACGCACGAAGAGCTGAAAGAGTAGGTTGGGCTCGCGCAAGAGCAGCGGGCCACCATTTTTTCCTTCGAATTTCACCCTGGCGACGAGCGGGACTACGAGGAGAGCGCGCCGGGGCAGCTTTTTCGCCCCCGCTACCTACCTCAGGGAAATTGGGCGCACATCCACGGCATCAGGGGGCCCCCGATCTACAAGGAGGTCGCCGAGCTGCTGCTACAGGGCGCCGAAGGGGCTGGGGGCGACGGCGAGGCCGAGGCGCGGGCGAGGAGCTCGCTCGTGTTCAGGCCCAGCGAGCAGGAGCTCACCTGGCAATACAGAGACGCACGTCGTGCGCCGCTCGGGGTTCACCCTGACGCACGCATTCTACCTGACCTCCACGGTGTCGCAGGGCCAGACAATGCGCAAGGGCGCCACCATCGACTGCGCCAGGGATGAAGACGCTGGTTGCACGGGGACATCGGACGTGCAGTGGTGGTTGCACCTTTACGTCATGTTCTCCCGCGCTACGCGCATACGGAACATGCTGATCCTGCGGCCGCTGCGGGGGTTCCTGGAGCCCGGGCCGCCTGCGTCCCCGCGGAAAACGCTCGAAGAATTCGACGAGAAAGCGGTGATTGCCTTGGCTGAGGCGGAGCAGCTCGAGGCAAACCTGGGTTTCGTGCCACCCCCGTCTGAACGCGGCCGCGTCCAGCTCGAGACCTGCAAGGTTGTCCCAACAGGTGGCTCCCGCGCCCCAGCGGCTCGCGGGGTTGTCCCAACGGCCTCGCCCGCGGGGCTGTCCCAACGATTTCACGATCTGGCCATCGGGGAACGCGCCCATGCACTCGTGGCGGCAACGGCGCCAGGGAAAATCGATTTGCCCCGTTTAGAAAGCAGGGGAGTGCATGGGGAAAAGAGGCAGGGAC